ATCCATCCAGGCATGCATTCATCTATCCCTCCATCCACGCAGCCATCTATGCATCCAATCATCCATGCATCCATCATCTGTCTATGCACCCAGTCAGCTAACCATTCATGTGTCCATTCAACCACCCATGGATGCATCCAGCCAGCCATCTATCCGTCTAAGCCCTTCTCCTTCCCTCCTCCCATGCCATCTCCCAAAGTGTCGTGCCCTTTCCTCCTCTAGCTCCCTCGTGGACTGTCAGCCTCTGTTCCCCCCAGGATCTCCACTGCACAGACTGCAAGGAGCTGGGCAAATTTCAGTTTCTCAGGTCTCAGCATGGCCTCCAGTCCTGGGTGTGTGTGTGTGTGTGTATGTGTGTCACAGTCACCACTCACTTCCTCACTCATAAGGGAATAAGGGAGACCTTGGCCTCCAGTCCTGGCCTTGGGGTGTGTGTGTGTGTGTGTATGTGTGTCACAGTCACCACTCACTTCCTCACTCATAAGGGCCCCAAGCTCAAGCCTACGATTTCTGTAAGGAGCCCGACTCGTGGAGAGAACTCCCCTACCTGTTCACTTGCCACCCCTGCCAGGCTACTCCAAAACCTGGTAAAGTAGCCTTCCTACCCCCACTGACGGGGCCCCCCCAGACTCAGAGGGGCCCCGGGGCCCTCCCCCTCCCCCCGGCCCTCCCTCTCCCCGCCCCCCGCGCCCACTCACGTGGATGAGCCCTCCAGCTTGCCGTAGAGCCAGCCGTTCTGCGCCTCGGGCACCAGCACCTCCACGATGTCTCCAGCCGAGAAGCGCAGCAGCGTGTGGTTGGCGCCCTCCGAATGGGAGACCAGCGCGCGGACTCGCCGGGCGCCCCCGCCGCCGCCCCCGCCGCCAGGCCGCTCTCCGAAAGAGTTGGAGCGCGAGGGCTGGGCGCTGCCGGTGTAAAGCGAGGCTGGGGGCGAGGGGGCAGGGGCGCTGAGGCTCGAAGCGGGAAGGGCGCCCCGGGTCTGCCCGCCGTCCCGCCCGCTGCAGCCTCCCCTGCCCGCCCGGCGGGGCCGCCCCCGAACCGGCCACTCACAGGCGGATGGCGTCCGGGGCAGGGGGCGGCGGTCAGGCTCCAGCTGGGCGGCCGGGCGGGCCTCGGGGGGCTCGGGGCCGAAGGAGCCCGAGCTGTGGCGGCTGCGGGGGGAGCCGAACTCTCCCAGGGGCCTCTGGGGCTGCGAGGGGACACGGGCAGGGCAGGGTGGGGAGGGCGGGGCGGGCCGGCCGCCTAGTCCAGCCCCCACCCCCACTCCCAGACGTCGGCGTAGGGGTTCGGGGGTCTGCGGCCCGGCCACCACGGGGGCGCCGACACGGGCCGGTAGGGCGGCGCAAGGGGCCAGGGCGCCGGCGCGGGG